ATGTAAACTTATTTTTGTATTTTATTTTTTTCTATTGCAGATATATAAATATTTAGATTACATTAAATTAACTTAATTGAAAGTTTTTACCTACAGTGCACTCATCATTTTATTATACGTCCACGCTTTTTAGGTATTTTCACAAAACATACATTTTTGTACTTTTAAACTATTTTTAAAAAATATTTACTCTGCTTATATGGTAAATAACAATTTTGTTGCATTTTGTATCCATTTTGTATATCCATTTTTATCTCACAATTATTCACAATAGCACAAGTTTATACTGAATATTACTATGCTACGGTGAACTGTCGACTTGATTTTGGATAAATTATGAATCATTTCTGTTTTCAACTGTCAAAATTCCCATACAAATCTACCTGATTTGTACTTGATTTACCGTCGAAATCAAGAATAATTCGAAATTACAGTAAAAAATACGAACAATATGCTCATTTTCATATCAGTTGTCATTAGAAGAAAATATGAAATTATATTTATAATTTATTTTAAAATTAAATTCCGTGGATTGAATTTTCTAAAGCCTCCTTTTAACAACATGTAACTTTTATTTTTACACAAAATATAAAACCAATTTCAGATTATTAAATGAAACAAATTCAAAAATTAAAGATATTATTTTGTTTTCTTTACAATCCCAATTAATTCATAAAACATCCCTGAAGTTCATGTTCAACACTCCTAAAGAAATAGATTTGAGGTATTTCTGATATGAGGAACCTTTTGAGGGTTTTAATCCTAAGAAGGGTTTTAATCCGGATCATGTTCTTATTGATCTAAAAATGTACACTTAATTGCCGATATGATTCTTAGTTTACATTCGTAGTTCAAACATTGGATTTTAAATATTATAAGTGCCTTATAACGATACTGAGGAATATGTTAAGAACTATGTTATGGTCATAGCAATTTTACATTATTTTTTATTAACCATAACTAAAAGGAGAATTAGTTGTAAGAAATAAGCTGACCTGTTGTACCTTATGGAAAAAATTGCGCTCAAATTCAATATTGGTTTCTTGATGTATGAATATATAAAGAAGAAATCTTTTATAAACTGATATATTGCATATGTAGAATTTTCCATATATTATGTATTAGAAAATTAGAGCATTCACTTACTACTTAAAAATCTTGTAGTGATGTGGAGGATAAGAGAATCATTTGGTTAGCAGTGAAATTTGTATATTTGACAAAGTAATTATATTATGACAAAGATTTTTGCTATACATCCATATACATTTACCAACTTTTCTATTATATTTCGGAATATCATTCACAAAGTCTTTTTTATGGTGGGCTATTATCATACCATACCATATTACCAGATAATATCATAGCGGAACTGTTAAAAGCTTGTCCTTTGACAACCGCTAAAATGTGCTGAATGGCGGACAGCCATAAACATATTATTTATCGACATTTGCCTTCTCTCAACTCGACAGAACGATATGCAAGATAAAATCAACGACTTAGTTCACGAATGACGTAAAGTTGGTCTTATAGTGAACACGGCAAAGACAAAGGCAATGAAGATAAATAATTCAGACCCTACCAGTAAATTTAGTCTGGACAATACAGAAATCGATAACGTCAACAGCTTCACATACTTAGGCAGTATAATATCGACAACCAAAGCCGAATCAATAAGGCATGCTCCGCCTTTTCGTTATTGAATAAAGTTTGGAGCTCTTCAATACTCTCCCAGCACATCAAGCTGCAGTTATTTAACAGTAATGTTAAGAGCGTTCTGCTCTACGGCTGCGAAACCTGGCTTGCCACCAACAACCTGATTCATAAACTGCAAACTTTTATAAACAAATGCCTTAGGAGAATTCTGAAAATTTGGTGGCCCCGCACTATTAGAAATTCCGAACTATGGTCAAGATGCCGCCAACTTCTCATAAACGAAATCAAAAAGCGTAAATGGCAATGGATCGGGCACACTTTGAGGAAGGCACCAAATGAAATCTGCAAACAAGCACTAACATGGAATCCTCAAGGAAGCAGAAGACCTGGTAGGCCCAAGTAAACGTGGAAGCGAACACTGGAGAAAGAAATCCAAGCAAGCAGGAAAACCTTTAGAGAAATCAAAACCCTGGCAAAAAATTGTGACAGTTGGAAAAAGTTCGTTATGGCCCAATGTTCCCATGGGAACGTACTGGATTGATTGATTGATTATCATATAAACAAATTAACACTCCATTTATTGTGTTGGCCTTTTCTTCTTAAATTTAAACAATTTCCAATTTTCTATTTAAGGCTTTTTCTTTTGTAAGAACAAATAATGGCAACTCTGGACAAAATGGAGATTTTGTTCGGCTTATATACGCAAAACACGTAATAAAATATAATGTTGAAATTTCGATAATGAATAATAATTGTTTGCAATTATTGATGAGAATATTTTTTTTACATGAATCTGAATAAAATATAATTTTTCGTGCCTTTTAACAGTAAAATAATACATGGAACAAATAACATATATTGTTACGAACAATGACGACACGAAGTACAAATAATTAACGAAATCATTCGTTGACAGTTAACTGGAAATTTCGTATATACTTTCAAAATCATTCACAGTAGACAAATTTTATGTGTTGGCAACCATGCGATTTGAACTGCTTTATCTAAGCGATTTCAAAAAGGTTGGACTGTATAAGTCAGCAGTGTTGTTGTTTTACATGTTATTTTTAAAATAAGCACTTTTTCTTTTGTGATATGCTTCCAAAAGAAAAGGACTTTAGTTAAAAACTCAATTTAATTAGAAATTATATCATTACACAAATTTCACGGCATATTTATAACAGTAATCAGTTCTTCTACATTACTTATTTATTTGAAAATATTCTTTACTACTATTTTATACAGTGGTAACTCGCTTTCACAGGAACAACAATTAGTAAATTCTAGTTACTTAATACTGTTTACTTATGGAAACAGAACTATTATTTTAAATTTTTTTCTTTATTTATTAAAAATCTATTTAAAGTACTTATGTAAATTGATATATGAATATAAAACCTTTATTAAACATCATATGTTTAATTTCAAAAATTAAACCAAAGTTTATTCATGTTTAAAAATTCTTCTATATAAATGTCTTCATCATCTTAAAGTTGTAATATCTTAAAACTTCACGTTTGTGCCAAAATTTTAACACATTTAATATGTTAAAAAAATTTCTTAAAAAACGTTAATGCATATCTAGTGTTAAATATCACTGAACGACAACAACTTCAGAGAATTACAACATTACGGTATTATCCAAACACATGTTCTGAAACTCTTCTTGTCAAAGCAGAAAATAATTAATTGCACTTAATAATTTTTGTATAAAACGAAAAAATATTTTAATTTATTAAAATATTTTATTTTTAATAAATTAATTACAATGCAAAGACAAATAAAAATAAATGCTGGAAGAAATTTTAATGATACTATAAAATGTATGATATGATTTTAGATACATGTAGATCCAATTAATTATTTGATTTGAGCTAAGATATTTAGCTCAAATAATACAAATATAGAGGTATTCAGATGTAATTTGGTAACTTCTTAATCTGTGAGATGATAAAATAACAAACGTGTAAACGCTAAGAACAGGAAACTAATGTATAACCAAATAATTTAACCTTCACTTTTATATGGAGGCGTTCAAAAGGCCTCAAACACTACTATTTGCCAATTAGAAATTGCACAAAGCCAGGCTCTGAAAAGACTTTTCAAGGTGGCATGGTGAATTAGGACAAATGACATCCTCAGCGACCTCAAGATTGATTCGATCAAAAAAATATATAAAGCATAGAGCCCTGAACTTATTTACGAAAACTGACAGGCTTACCAACACCGCGTTATCAAATCTCAGTATGCTTACATGCTCCTCGGGGAGGTATGCAGATCTGAGGTCAATTATTGCTTAGTCTAATGAAGTGATAAACAATAATCCAGTCAGGGCGTAGAGAAAGGCTATGAAGAAACCTCGCAGTTAACAGAGAGTAAAAGTGCTCAAGTGCACTGACTCAACTAGTCTCAACATAATAATGGAAGAAAATTTGGAAAGAGTCATAATAAAATTTACTTGTTATATTATTTAATTTTTTTTATTTCTATTAACAGCACTTCACAAAAATTAAAGTCAATATTTTATCGAAAATTGAAATAATTGTTGGACTTGATGCGTAGGCATTTCGTAATATTATATTTCACAAAAAGAAATGCACATACAACTTTTTAACTTTATCGAGTTGTCGAGCATGCTTGAATTTCACTAATGATTTATCTGTAGTAATTATTTGTAAGTTTTTGAAATAATTTTACTTCAAATAATCTCATTCGAACTGCTAATAATGAATAAAAAGTACTTATATAGCAAACTATATTTCTACCAAGATTGTATACAGGGACTCATTCTAGAGGGAGCTTTGAAAACTAATCAAAGTTCATATGACATTAATTGAAAAAAATATATATCTATATTTACTATAAGTTAGTCTGGAATAGGGACCGAACAGCAATACTTTGCTCCCTCTTATTTACGACACTGATGTATGCAAAATAAGCATTCAACGGAAATAGAAGAATATAACGAGGCAACATTAATAGCATAACTTAAAGGAGCAAAAAAATATGGTTCAGTGGTTGAAATAGTAAATTTAGAAACTGCAGATAATTATTTAAAGCTCTTAAAGAAGCAAATAAATGATTATTAAGGAATAATCAATTATCTCATCTGTCAATACTATAATACTTTCATTTATGATAATAGTTGTTATTTTTCACTAATAATAACCCTAGCAAGCTTTCTCTCACTTTTGTGTTGAATTTGACGTCTAAATGATTTATTTGTTTCTGGCAATACTGAATTTTTCCAACTTTCTAACTTGACGAATAAATTTTATTCAATTGAAATTTTTTATTTAAACAGATTTGATTTTTATTGAGTTCACTATAAATTAATTTAAACAGCAATGGACTTGACTGGTGTATTAATACACGTGGATTACATAGCCACAGTTTTGGAGGATCCATTCATTGTAGCACGTGCACAAGTCGGTGGTTCTGGTTCTACTCATGTCCATGGGCAAGGTATAGGTCAGCAACAGGGGAGCAATAATTCTAATTATTCCGCACGGTTTATTGGTGTGATATATGTACAAAACTTTGAACCTTCCTTTTGTTTTCTTACCATTCGTCGATTTATTTAACACAAAGTTACTACATATTAAAAGAATCTTAGGGTAATTACCAACAAAAATTCGCTGAGTGAAGATGCAAATTGTCAAGACCTAAAATGAAAATGGTATAATAATTTGCTAATTAATGAACATATGTATGTATACATATTTTATTATACCTTAAAAATAATACGCAAATAAAAATGTAACTTTTTAAGTTTATTAGTATTTTATTAAAACATCACAAGAAATATTACATATATTACTTTATTTCATGACTTTAATTATTTTTTATGAACAGACGTCTGTGCAGACTCTTAATCTTGTAGTTCACTAATTTTCAAAACCTCTCTATAATATTAAATATTATTTAATTATGTTAAATAGTCACTTTCATCATAACTGACGTTAAATTACGACTTATATTAATTATTTTCGCAATTAGTCTTCCTACCTTCAGGTCAAAGTCGTTTTTAACAAAACAAATATTGATGAAGGGTTATTGATCACTGATTATTCAAATTCTGTAGTCACATAAAGACAAATCTTTCCATGATTTGTTTCAAAGCTGGCACTGTTGCAATAATTTTGATTGATAGATTTTTTTATTTTATTTAGTTTATTTTATTTATTTGCCGAATGTAATATCCGAAGGATTTAATAATATTGAAGTAACTAATTGACCTTAACTCACACCCTTCGATAGAAAATTGTCACCAAAAAAAAAGCCTTATGTCGATCTATTTAAATGTGGCTTTTGAGAATGCATTGTTAAGCTCATTAAATAAAATTTTCAGAAGTCTTCTGTCGGTCCCTTAAGGGCGGAAAAACAGCAATTCAGATAAAACTACAACACTACGAAGTGAATGGTATAGGTTTAACTTTTTCTAAATTTAAAAGTGTGTGTACATATAATAATAAAAGAGATATGTAAACAATTTTTCTACAATTGCATTATCTATAGTGAAATTTTTCAAAGCTTAATGAAAGCTATTATATTATAAAACTATTATATTATATATCAACAAATCAAATAAATTTTCCTACCTTTAGCCTCGCTGAATTTTTTTTTCAATTATATCATAATTTTCACAGGCTGCTATTTTCTTTCAATTGAGAAAGTTAGCAATGCAGATAGTCACGCTTGGCTCATCGTAGTTCTCAAATAAGCCTTAATTAATTTTAATTTTGAAAAGCTTCATTCAGCAGAAGCTATACTGCCTGGATCTGTGAGCATGATTCTGGTTACTGTATAAGCATCCGGATAAAGTAGATCCGAATTATTTAAATTATATTCTTTAATATACCGATTGAGTGGCTTTATATCGTTGAGTTTCTACTGGATGATTTAGGATGATGAATGCCGGTGCTTTTATCTCCCCGAAATATATACCTAAAATCGACATAATCAGATGTGCTCATGAGTTAGCGTAACTAGTTGCACTTTTACTCTGTAACCAAACGCATTATTCAAACTCGTGAATATCCCTATTATTTCTGTATTTTGCTATTTAGGTTTTCTACATCAACTAATTCAACCTTTAGACTAATATGTATGTATTTTTTTATAGAATTGTCAGGTTAGTTTTCCTTTACTTAATGAGGAAGTCGTTACTTTTTTCGTTACCTATTATTTGAGCTTAAGTGGGTGTTTTTGGAAAAAAGGCCGCCACTCCAAACTACCTACCTGCCTTAGACCAATATGTAATGACATGCATCATCAATTTATATGTATATTTTATATTGCAACAATATATAAAAGTACTAAGTAATAAATCGCATTAAAATATAAATATTTTAAACATCTTAAAAGCATTTGATGACAACAGTAATTACTTTTCAAGGATAATAAGAATTTTTAAGCAAGTTTTAAATTCCATAATGTCAATAATTTTTTACTTTTAATGTAATTTTTATATCTACAAACCTTAAAAATATAATCAGTTTTAATGAAACTAAAAATCTTAATTTTATTATAATTAAAAAGATTCCACTTTAGTTATTTATCAATATAATCTTTTGGTACTTGAAATCATATAACATTTAATAAAAATACTTATTTGAAATATTTTTATGCTTCATTTATAACTAATAGTACTTTTTTTTATAGCAAATAGTACTACATTTATAGGTAATCAAAAAGTGGTGAATAAGTCATGACGACTAACATAAAATCGTGATATAGTATTTTAACATTTAAAAACATTAAATTATCCGTAACATTTACCGAGACTGCATTTACTAAGAATCGAACTTGTGCCCTGCCAAATTTGAAGCTTAGAGTCAGCGCTCAATTCTACACTTAGCAAATTAACTTTTCATGTAGCGTGTTAATTTCCTATAGTGTTAAAGAATTGAAAAAGATATATAGAAAGACTATATAAAAATTAAGTATAAAGTGGTAACAGCTGTTTTGATAGTTCGAATTTTATATTAAGCAAATTTATTTTAGATATATTATGTTAACTAGCGTTAGTGTTAAATTTTGAAAAATCAATCCAAATGTTTCTTACAACTTTGGTGTACTAAAAAGGAGTCTTACAAAGGCACAAAGTTATATCAATATATCTATCGAATTTGATATGCTCTATATTTTTTGAAGTACATAATTATTTTGATTTTAAATATATAAGAATCGATATATTTTAATATGAAACACATAAATTCCAAAATTCTATTTTTAAAAGAATTTCATTCTAATCTGTGGAAAAAAGATTAATACATGGAAAAGTAAAGAAAATTTTTTAAGATTTTGATACTAAATTTAAATTTGCCCCAAAAATGTCAGAAAATAACATAAAAATCGAATTAGGAAGGAACGAAAATCACTTCCAAGGCTTCAGAAAAAATGAAAAAAGGATTTGGATGTGTATAGAAAAATATTTTAGAGTACGAAAATAATAAAATTTCCTGGCGAAAAAGAAAACAATTTCTTCTTTTGCTTACCTGATATATTTGCTTCCTCTAAATTGGTTATTATTTTCACTTTTTTCCTTTACTCTATAAACCTGTAGTCATGAAAATTATACAATAAATAATTTTTATACTACAAATAGAGAAAAGTAGAAAAAAAAGAATATGAATTGTTGCAATTCAAAACCAAACATTAAAATAAAAATAAAAATAAAAATAAAATGTACAGAGGAAAAGTAAAACAATCAAAATTTACGCTCCATTAAATTTCTGGAAAATAAGAGTAAGATGAAAGTAAAGAAAGTAATAACAGCAGTAAAGTGGTAAAAGGGCAACAACAACAAAAAAGCCACTAAAACACTGTTTCCGTTTCCGTTGCAAATATTTTTGTTCGTTACTTTTTCTTTATGGTATGAAGCATTTTTACTATCGCGCTAGAAGCTATTTTGTTATGGAATTTAGAGCCTTTGTTTTCTATATTTTTTTTCCACTTCTCCATTTTACATTGAACCCTAAAAGACCTTTTGTTGACATTTTCGTCGTAGTTCAGTGTTTTCACTTTTGTTGTGTAGTTTTCGGTCGCAGGAAATGTAAAACTATTATCGCGAAATTTGCAACAAAAAATACTCAAAAATAGTTCAATAAAGTTTCAGTTCCAATTTCGATTAGTATTCCATGGAAACTCTATAGCTTTGTGCGGAATTAGCTATAGAGAGGTGGAGTGGCAGAGGTGCAAATCGATTTATAACGGGAAATTAACTGATTAAAACCAATTAAAAACAAAGCCCTAACACATATAATGAGCTTTAGCTGCGTTCCATGTGAGTCCATGGTCCTTTCAAAAGGATCAAATTTATTAAACTATTCGCAGGAATTTATTTGGAAGTTACGAACTCGAAACTGAAATAATTCCTTTTAAAAATAAAATAAAGAGAGGATTTTGGAAACTTTTGCGATTGTAGCATTTTTCAATTTAAACAGTAAAATCTGCTAAATAAAAACAAAGGGTTTAGCATATTTTTTTTTTTTGATTCTAAAATGTAAGAGACGTTTACTTTATAGAGATTGCAGTTTATTACATTCGTTTTATGAAAAGAGTATTAACATTGAATTTTTTATTTAAACATTTTATAACTTAAGTTTAAGTTAAAAACTATTGTACAATTCAAGTTAAGTTTTAAAAAAATTATATAAAATTAAGATCACTTAATATTTATTTTTACCATAACAAAAAACTCAATTTTGCTGAAATATATTTAATAGTTATAATTAATTTCATATATGTATTTGACATATGCACCCAACCAATATACAGGTTAGGTATCTAACCTGTTCAATATAAAAATATTGAACTTATTGATCGTAACCGATCAGAGCCAAACGCCGGTGATCCTTCACAAACAATTTCAAAGCCTGCATTGACGGCAAACTAGATTTTGTATAGTGTTTGGTTGAATTGGTGGGAAATTGTTTATTACAAGCTGCTTCAGCCTGGTAACGGAGTAATCAAGAAAAAGCGCCCAGAAGTGACCAACAGCAAAGGAGTTTTGTTCCTTACAGACCTTACACCGTCTGACTACTGTTTGTTTTGATGTCTGCAAACCTTTTTTGACGGTAAAAATTGGCCAGTCGAATAAACGCTGAAAATTAAGTTTTTCGGCTATCAATCACAGAACTTCTACACTAAAGGAAGCTTATAGGTCCTTGCAAAGTACTACCCACCAAAAAAAAGTTATTCTCAATAAATTCATTTTTATTGAACTAAATGTACAAAACTGGTAGGAATTATATTTTTTGGGTATATCCCCATTTCGACTATATTTGTATCAGAAATAAAATTAGCCCTGTATTTTTCGTAATTCCACTGAAGTTGGTTAGAATGATCAATATGCGGTCGTTTATTCTAACTACATATAATGAATTCTTTGTGTTGGTAATTAAATATAAACTCCTATGGTAAACAATGACTGATTACATCTTTTAACCTTTAAATATATATGTAACTTATATATTTACATATATAAATATATGTCAGTATATAAATATATATTATTTAATTCTATTTAAGGAATGAAAGTATTCGCATCGTGAGTCTCGGTAACTAACAAAAAAAAATTATCAAAAAATTTTTTTCTTTCTAATTTCTTATTTACATTATTAATATGCAATCATTAAATTTTTTTTAAATAATATGGAAAAACGCAATAATTAACAAATTTGAAAAAAAACTTAAATCTAAAACTTAAAGTTCATTAATAATTTTAAGTCGCTGCAAGTGATTTCACTATTCAATAAACATATCGTGCTATATAATTGATCGCGGATAGCGGATATCCCTGGCTGATTACCTGCATAGTGTATACGCATTATTATACTTACTCATTACTGTCCTTCTCTCCTAGCAAGGTACCATATACATGTTATTATAAACAATAACTTAACAGGGTTTTCCTATGTCGCGCGAAGTCCCTATAATGTAGCAAATTGACTGTTACCAAAATTAGGAAAAGTTATCCATGTTAATGTCATCAAAAGGTAGTTAATACATATTCCTTTTTCTTTATTAAGGTTTTACTATTAAGTATTGGATTTAGTTCCTTACTAAAATTTTACAAGCCTAACAGGGAAAACATTAGTTTTCTGCTGCTGTATTAGCTATGATTTCGTTAGTGAACGCTAACAGCCTCGACGGATAATAGATGGGGCATATCATCAAATTTGACGATATCTACACAATTTTGTTTTTTTACTTTTTAATCGTTTTTATAATATGTACGATAAAATTATACAGTTTATTCATTTTCTATTCAAAACATATTTTGAACAAATTGCCCGCCTATACAATGCTCAAACAGCGCGTAATTGAAATCCTTCTGTAGACCATTTGGTTGAGAGTTGTTTTGTAAACCCATATAAAATAACATTTATATTAATTCATCCTTTCATTTGAATATGCTTCATAAGCAGCCTTTCAGCTTAATATTT